TTGAAGACGACCGTGAGAGGCGGTCAAAACGTCTGTAAAGGTCAGTCACTCCCCCCCCCGTTGACGACATTACTTTTGTTTCTTGTAAATAAATCAAGTTTAGTTATGTTTCAGTTGGACTATCCACAAACCAAACACTCAGTCAGGTGCGATTTCTGCAATAATGCGAAAGTGAGCATTTCTTTCGTGAATTCGAAGACACACCAACGCAGCCTAAAACATCGTTTATTTATATGATGAACAAACAGGATGACCGTATTGTTTGCATTGTAAATTAATAGTCCGTATTTTATTCAATTTTCACTATGATGAAAGACAGAATCCGTTTAATTTATCCGAAATCTTCTGTTGCACACTTTAAAAACTGGTAGGAAGAAAAGTTTGAGATAAAGGCTGTGCAGGTGGCAAATCGCGGACATTGTATTCGACAAAACGGCATTTCAAAACTTGACTTCAAGCAAAGTCTGAAACCAGTAAAGCAGCGTTGATGACGATTAGAAGAAGCTCACTGAGAAACTGATGCAATGCGTAAAGCCAGCCGACGTGGCAAGATGAAAAACGAATGTAATTATCTCAGAAGTGACAAAGACTTTGCAATAAAAGCGGAAAGGACGAAGAGAGATGGGACTGGAACAATGGATTATTCTATTCCCTGTCAACTCGTTAGACGGAAGCGGAAGGAGGACTCGCGTCTTGCAAAAAATTAGAAGAATTGCAGAAACCTCAGGGAATTCGAGAGTTAACGCTTTATCAGTCAACCATCATGGCATTGAAGAATGGAGGTAGCGCATTAAAGCCGACGGAGGCGACACACAGTCCACCTGTAAGAGCTTTTAAGCCAACTGTGCGCAAAAGAAAAATGTCTCGCTGTCACAGCATTATGAACCAACAAATTGCAACCAAGGCACTCATGTAAGATGTTCAGCGTTTCGCGCTGCAAATGAATGAGGAGAGAATGCGGGAGAGAGGGGGGGTCGTCCGACAATTGAAATGATCAGAAAAGGTGATCAGAGGCTGCGCAAGCGGCAATGGCGAAGTTGAGCTGCTAATTAGAAACTGAAAAGATGCCATCAAGCTGGAACGAGTCAAAAATTTCGTGTTGTTCCAGATTGACGAGAAGGAAGATCTGAAGTATTATAACTTAATTTGCTTGCTCTCACAAGCCTATTCATTAAAATTACGCCATCACATCCCACCACATATCACAAGCAGACTGTCATCAAGTCTGGATGAATAACTGCCAAGAAAACAGGCGAATTCGGAAAATCGGTCATTCCCT